AATTAAGCGTTATTCTTAGCAAATTGATAATATATTTTTTTCTAGTCAAAATTTTAAATTGAAACTTATAAATAAATTACCGAATTACTTAAAATAACTCAATCTTTTTTCATATCACACACGAAATGAATACTTAAGTTCCTACAAAGTTCATTTTCCATTTAATTTTTCTGTAATAAAATATTGGTTTAAAATTTTAAACGAACTATTTCTTTTCAAAAAGTAAAATTTCAATACATTCATATCGTAAATATAATTTATGTATACTTTGATTTGAGCGTTCGGTCTATGTTATATGATAAAATTACATTTTGCGACATGTTGGCTTTTGAAATGATCTCGTATATTTGCATATTTTTATAGAAAACAACTTGAAGTAGGTGTACAACGTGATATTGAACGTCAAGAACGCCATAAATTATTAAGTACTGTATTGACACAAGAAACGCAATTGAAATTAACGGATAAATTATTAGAAACGTCTTAAAAGAAAAGAATTCTTTAAACTGTAAATATTGTATGGTAATTGTAATACAGATCTTTATTAATTATATTTCTACGTTTGTATAACGTTTTTCATTTAGCTTTGAATTTGAATATAGGTTAGGTAACAAATCCAATAAACATGACGACAGAAGATCCAACAAACCAATCAGGTAATATATTTAAAATATCCTTAAACAAAATAACAAGAAGTTCATTTATCCTTATATATTCTTCTTTTACAGATTTAATTTGTGTAGAAGAAAGTCTTATGAGTTTAGAAAAACTAGATAGAGCATCGCCAGATTTATGGCCTGAACAAAGTAAGCGTATAATTATACAGCCTGCTCTAAATAAGAATTATGACATATATATATATATATTATATATATATAATATATATTATATATATATATATATATATATATATTAACGATTAATGAAGTTCCAGGTGTAAATGAATTTGTAGCTCAAAATTCACCTCGAACAGAACCATCATCTTGGGCTGCAGGTCTTACTCCAGATGACATAAATCAATTGCATCGTAAGTTTATATTTGAAAATGTAATTTCATAGAATATCCTTTGAAATGTTAAAAATAGAGGAATTTTTATTTTAGATTTAGGAAATTTGTCAATGGGTGGTTTAATATCCGAGGTAAAAAAGTTACACGATATGGCATATCAGTTGGGATTGGAAGAAGCAAAAGAGATGACTCGTGGAAAATATTTAAACATTTTCAAACACAAATAACAGAAATTTTCTATCTGTAAAAAAATAATAATACAATTTTTATTAAAATATACAATAACAACAAGCTACTAACCTTTTAATGAACAGTTAACAATTTTCTAGAATCCATGTTGTGTATTTCTGTACATTTACAAAGACTGATGGAAAGTTGTGATTCATGTCACAGTTGGAACCGTATGATAAAATGCCTAACTAAAAATTATGTAGGCATCAACTGTAGTTTTATAAATATATAATTTAATAGGATTTCATGAAATAGTAAATAAATATTACCAAAAAATATGTATTTCCTTGTTTGAATAAAAGGGGACTTCCATTATATCCTGAACATGGCACATCATTTCCTATTGTGCACAGTTCAGTAGCTAGTCCTTGGTTATAATATTTCATGCATTCTTCAGTTGATATAATTCTCATTTTCAGAAACTGTTGTTTATCAGATTCTACTTTAAATATTAAAAACTTTGCAAGTACACTGTGTTTAATTCATTTTAATTGAGTAAATAATTCTTTGGAACTCTTACCTCTTTGACGTTCCAACTTACCCCATCCAACAAGAATAGAATTCATTCCTGTATTTATATGTTCATTCTGTGATAAGAGACATATAGGTTGCGCCGTTACTAATTATTTGGTATTAAAAAAATGATTACATAAAATGATAATACATAATTATTGATTATTTTTCACATAAAAATTAAAAATTTTAATAATTACCAGTATATTGTATTGATTTTTTTAAACGTAACATCGCTATATTATTTGTAAAAGTATCAGCTTGATAATGAGGATGTTTTATTATGTAAGATATATCAATTTTTTGTGAAGTGCAATCAGGATCAGTATCAATGTTGAATTCACCAACAAGCACAGAATTCCTATTAAAATATTGAAAAGTCTATTCGAACTTTTACTTAAAAAAATGAATGTACTCACAATTGATAATTACTAGATTTTGCAAGAGCGCAACTGGCAGTAGTTAATATCATGTACTGATTCAAGATCACACCATTACAAGGATATTTTATTTCTCCTGTGTTACCTATAATAAATTTGAAGAATTTTTTACATTTATATAGAAATAAATATTTTATCGTATTTTGTATTTCAGGCTTACTTTTAAATCCAATTCTAGCAACAAAAGGATACATTCCTATAGAATTAATATCACCATGAACAAAGCTTTTACCACAGTCTGAAATCAAATTCGGTCTCGTAAAAGATGCATCTTTTTCTGTGAAAAATGAGTTCATCATATTGCTATCCATGTTGCAACATACTTTTGGTCTTATGCTCTCGTATCCACAAATTGCTTGACGAAATCTAAATTATAATTTCTCTTATTAATTTATCTGTATTTTAATTTCTTATAAAGTGTTAATACATTTATTTACCTATGAATCGGAAGGAGATTGTAGCTCATTAAATTCGAAATGACAGGACAATGTTCAACAAACGTGCACTTTTTATTATTTGGACAATTAATTAAATTAATTGGATATGTTTCAATTGTCTGTTTGTCTTGTGTTTGATGAGTGGCACTTAATATGAAGATATAATAAACAAATATTGATAGAGGTAACATTTTTTTCTTTAACCGACTGACGTCGTTTGAAACATATTCTAAACTGACCTGTTTGGCAGATTCTATTTCGTAACATGCAATGTGACACAGATTTTATTACATTCGAAGCATTATTCATTCTTCCGGCGGAAGTCTCATTGTCATGCATAAAACGGTGCACAAATGCCTTTGCAGAAAATTTCATGTTTTTTTAAATATTATATAATGCTATTTCTATTACAAAATAATTTTATTTGGAAACCTTATTTGAAAATATATTTTCTTAATCAATTTACTTATATCTTGAATAAATATTTTAAATATCTTAAATATCTTAAATATAGCTTGATTTTAATAAATACATTCACTATTAGGGGATGTATGAAGCTTACAATTAATTTAAATTTACTTTCGAACTATGAATATAATAAATGAATATACATACTTACCTAAAATAAATAGATCTTAGACACGATTATTTATAACGAAACTACATTATATAAAAACAAAATGTGTACCACGAATGTATTGAAGTAAAATTTATTTGATCTTGCAGAATACTTTAAAAGAATAATATATTATAATTACAAGTTAGCTGAACTTGATTTAACTTAATTAAACTTAACTGAAAAATGATTATCTACAATATAAATGACGATTTTCATTAGATTTAATGGCTATTTCAACAATGTCTGTACTTCTTACAAAATCAACTGACACGATATTGGCTGTATATTGCCAAATAGTGCTGTACCAGTTAGTTACATTTAAATTAACTTTATGCGCCATTTCTCGAAGATTTCTTAATCTGTTAAAAAGAATATTTTTCAAATCTGAGGTCAATTCTGCCATTGCTGATCGAGGTATCATTGTACCATTCCTGCAATAAAATATATAATTATCAGATTAATTTTCTTTTCATTTTGTACAGAATATCTAAGACAAATCTATTTCAATCCTTTTCTTTCAATGGTACTTCAAATAGCATAAATATTAAATTTTTCAAAGTTTACCTATTACTAGTTTCAATTTTATACAAATGCTGATACAGTTGCTCGGTACTTTTAACGTCTCCCCATTGATGCAATACGCAAGGCCACATGTTAGTACGACTATTCACGATCTCCATATTTTCATAACCAATTATCAATCGTTTCCCAAAAGACCAGATCTCATTCAACGTGATATTCCATCCATAATTATTTGGCAAAAAATAATTTCGAAATTCATTTTCCAGATACGAGACTAACTTGTGATGATCTGATATTTTATCGAAACCTGTAAATTTGTAAAATACAATTAATTTAAGACATTATCAATGAAAAATTCGTAGGCATTTAATTAAATAAGATTATATTTTACGATTATATTTTTATAAATTAATGTTTAATTCATTACCAATAGGAAATTCACGGATATCCATTATTACGATTTCTTCGGTATTATCGAGAAACTTTTTCACTTGATCTATAACAGTTTTTAACGAAACTGAACGGTAAAATGGCCCATGATTGGTCCACCATATTTCTTTGGTATCGGGATAATGTCCTACTCTGATATCTAAATACCGTACGCCGTGTATTAATTGTCCTAGGATGTCTAAATCCTAAAAATTTGTTAATTTATTCTAATAACAAACATATTTAATATTTTACAGATTTTACAGATTTATATCTATTATATTACCTGTGTTATAGCCAAGTCTGAAATAATACTTCTTCTCTTGCCATTCTCATCATATATTGCAGAATCGTGAGTTCCAGGCAGAAATATTTGTTTTATTTTTAAAGGACCAAGGATATTTTTCCTTTCTTTCATCCAATTTGGCTGGGTCTTGAGACACTCCATTTTTTTAACTTTTTTGTCTGTCAACCATGCTACTTCATACTCTGAAAGAATAGTTAGAATAATAATTAAGAATAGCTAGAATAATTAGAATAATTATAGGAGAAACATCAGAAATATTTGTAATTTTGTTTTTCAGAAGTTCAGTTTTCACCTGATTTTGTAATCTAATCTCTCATTTTTTTTGAATGAGTTAACTTGTTACGAGGATTTCTAATCTGACAGATATAAGAATATTTGAAGATTTCTTCTAAAGGTTTCCAATGTATTATTCCATTCTAGTGCAAATTAAGTTATACTGTATTAATGTTTATATTTGAAATTGATAAATTTTTATTAATTTTTATTTTCAAACTGCTCTTTATCTTCATTTGTAAATAGTTAGAAGATTCAAAAATACACATAGAATATATATAAAAATGTATACAAAAATATTTAAAGCAAAATATGATAATTCATAGTCTATTTATAATGATAGAAATTTTCAATTAAATTAGAGGAATTAATTCAAAATTAATTGAAATATTTCATAGTTACTGACTTATGCATTTCTCCACGAACGAAAGATTCGAGCTGGGTACGTATTCGGCTAGTACTCCTGTTTTTTGAAAACCACTGCGACTATTTGGAGTGACTGTATAAATTTCACGATGAACACCTGTAGAATCTTGTTCGAAGAGTGAAAGTTTATCTCCGGGCATGATATTTACATTGTTCCAGTATATCTCTATCTCCCGAATCTTCGATCTTGAAATAGTTGGAGAAATAAGTATACCAATCCGGGATTGCCCTAAGTAACGGAAGTATGAAATTTTAGAAATTTTTTCAACGCTATCAGTTTTTTTCAAGTATCAATATACTTACAGTTTTCGGAGGAGGAATTGCAGATTCTGACAGACGAAGTCTTGTTAATTGTCAACAATAAGAGAACGAGTGGTATCCTTTCTATGAACAGTGTCCTTGCTTTCTTGTGGGAAGTTGATGTAGTGATAGTCATTGTTCCTTGTCCTATTTTAATATGATAATATTCATAAAAATAATCAACTTTTATAACGGAATATAAAAGTAAATATATAAGACACATATAATGCGCACAAACATGTAAAATTTCATAAAAAATAAATAAAATTCGTTATAATATTTAATAAATTCTGTTTAAGTTCTGTTCCTTTAATAGTAACGATAAAAATAAAATAAATAATGAGCAGTCTAAAAATAGATTTTAGTAGTCTCTTTTTAGTATAATACATACCTATAAAAATTCAATTTTAAAAGTGAGTTAGTAGAATAGACTTTGCGTGTGAACATGAACTGTCGACAGGCATGAACTGATTCCTGATGATTGCATAAATGTATGTCAGACAACAATCTTTTTATTACGCGACAATTAATTATTATTATTAATCTAAGCATACAGTCTTGTCTTGTCCAAATTTAAGATATTATTAATTTTCTATATAAAATATCAAAATTTATAACAAGATATTGAAATATTATGCGTTTATCAAATTTTTGTTTTAGTAAAACTATTGATCTAGAGATTTTGACGAATTTAATGAATCAATGATTGATTAACTAGCTTTGCGATAGTTACAAATAGAACGAGAAAAAAGTAAACAGATGAGAGGAAGTGGAAAAGAGAGACGAAGATAACAAGAAACTACGATTTGACTTATGCAACACGATTTTGCAATAAATATTTTTTCATAATGAAAGATATTTTACGAATAGATGTTGATCTACATCTAATAATATTTTTAATTATTTTTTCTTTATAAAAAAAATTAGGACGTATTTTAAGATAACAAGGTAGGTATATTCATTTTTGGAAAGGAAAATAAGAAAGAATAGGAAAAGTTCTTCATACTACTCATTACTGGTTGCGTAAATATGTTAATTTTGCCTTTTATAATGATTTTTTTCGTAGCATAGACGAGATATATAATATTCATATACCTCATCTATGCTCATAGTGTTGTTTCCTAAGAGGTAATTACGTCAAGTATAATTACAAAAGAAACGACTTCCGGTTTTAAATCTGTGAATTATTTTAATTCAAATTGAATGTAAAAAAAATTTTAAATGCAAAAAATTCTTAAAATATTAATTTGAGATATATATAATTCGTAATATAAAAAATTATGTTGATATTAAATAATTTACATTATTTAAATCAGTATTTCAATTACTGTATTGAGTTGATAACATCAAATGACAAAAAAAAAATTAAAAAGATCAGATATCTGTTAAACGTGGAATACGCAAAGGTATTGATTCACAGATGACGTATTTTCTTATATTCTTTATTTATACTTAGTCAATAATTAAATGTTAAATCTATTTCCTACGTGAAAAAATATTAAATACTCATTTGTTATTCAAAATTCTTTTTGCGAATTGTATCAACTGTCGGTAAATGCAGATCAATAATTTTACTACAGACAAGGTATATGAATAGATCTCGCATACAACATCACATCCTGTCATACCGATTTAAAGAGATTTTGCATTGCAGCACTGCTAGTGATGAGAATTAAAATAAGAAAATACGGACAGTATTGTCATATCAGCTAAGAGAGTTATTTATTGAATCAAACGTGGTGAAATTTAATCAATGAAGGAATATATCGAATTAAAACAGTGGAAATTCAGATGAAAAATTCATTATATATTTGATTATTTACACCTGTTTAAAGGTAGAAAAAATTCATTGAAATATATTTAAATGTATCTCCAACAGTGAAAGACGCAATATACTTCCTACGATTCTCGAACATAATCGATATTTCTCACGATCGATTTTTAAACGACAACAATGAGACTGTAAAAAATTATCCACAAGAATCATCCAGAAAAAAGGGTAATCATCCAGAAATTCTCAGATTAAAATTTAAATAAATAGTTGTTAGATTTGTGTTTATGTTGTGAATTTTTGGCTAAAGAAATAATGGCATATAAACATTTAAATAGAACATACCAAGCTAAAAAATATTTAAAATTTTATACCAAAATATAATTTCAATTCTAATCAATGCAAATATTATGACTTTGTAAAATGACTAACTTATTATATATATATATAATATTCTTTTA